AGAATGGCTACAATCTACCCCCTACCCCTCCTCTTTTTCCCAGTTAGCTCAACTCTCCAAAATATTCAGCAGTTTTCGAGTATGCAGGTTAGTTAAACTTTTACTGTTAAAGTATGACTGCATGAAGAAATTTCCCGTCTTCTGATTTCAGAAATGTTAACTTTTTTACTTAAATTACTTTGCTTGCAATATCTGTTAATGGAAAACTGTTATACAATAAAAATTTTAAAAATGTTCAGAATTTTGATTTAAGTTAAATTATTTAAATATTAATATGATTGGAAAAATAAATTGTATTTATTATTAGGTGCCAAGCGAATACAATAAATATGGCTTATTATTATTTATTTTCTCGATTTTGAACTAAAATTTCATCATGAAGTCTTGTAATATAGTTTAGTTCTGCATAGTTTTTTTTTTTTTTTCCCCCTCTCATTGTAAACTAGTTCTGTAAATTGAACTTTTGTTTAAAATTTAAAAAAAAAGTTATTTTTTTCCATGGCTGAGGTAATGCTCATTCTCTAAGAAATATTGCATTTCTCATATTTTAAATTACAAGTGTAATTTTTCTTTTAAGGTGATACAATTGTGAATAATGTAATTAGACAGGTGCTTTTTTTTTTTTTTTTTTTTTTTTTTTTTTTTTAATGTGCTTGAAAAGTGCTAATAGGTGCTTATTTTTTTAACTAAAATGTGGCTACAAACCCTGAATAAGTAACATTAAAGCATTTACAAATTTATATATTCATAGGACCATGGTTTTAGCATACTATTTACATTATATATACCATGGAATTAAGTGCTGTAGTCATAGTAAGGGGCTAGCTTGCACATGAAGGACTTTAGGCATATAAATTGAGTTCTAAATTATGTCATCATTCAGTACTCCAAATATGGATATGCAATGCTCTGCTGCCATGACGTATCATTACCTCTGCTGCCATGACATCCTCTTGATCAGAGATAGGTACGTTTCAGGTCGCTTTGTTAAGTAATTATTGACAATGAGGATGTATTTGTTGGCATCAGTAGATTGGGGCTGAGGTTTCAGGATGTCGAAGGTTATGCATTCAACAAGCATTCCTACACCGTAAGGTTGCAGCTTCCCTCGGCTGCATTTTTATCATCCTTTCCAGTTGTCACCACTTTTGCACTTCAGCCCTTGCACTAAGAACTTTTGAACTCTATGCAAAGTTGTTATTATTTTGAAGTGGCCTCTTGTTGAACTGTTAAATAGTTCCTTAAAAATATCCTGGATCATGAAAGAATCAGTTGCGATCAGAATGCCTTTCCATCATCTGACTCTCACTTCAGTACATGATGCCATTTCGAATATGAAGCGAGTCCCAGAAAGGCCAGTATTGTTTTGCTGTAGGATTATAGATATAAATTTCCTGCCAGGTAGATTTCCTGTTTGAAAATTCCATTAAACCAGTTAAGGATTTAATGTTGAATTAAAATTTAATTAAATGCTAATAGATTTAATGTTTTGTGTATTCATCTGGCTATTTGGGCTTTAGGATTCTTGAAATTTAAAAGCCAGGTAAGATGCATGATCAGGAATTTTCTGTTTTAGGGATAATAATGGAAATGTTTTACAACTTTAACTATGAAAAACCTCTCTTTTCTGGTAACACAGTGATTTCTCTCTAGTTTATATAAACACTTGCTCCAGTATGTAGCAACACTTTCTTGACTATTTATTTCTTAGGAGAAAACAGCACTGACATTTTCATATCTTGCATCCATGTCAGGAATAAATGGTTTCTCAAGCTGAGGTTACACCAGGATTGTCGGAGATAGGCCTGTTAAATGCATCCTCCTCTTTTTGGTCCTCAAGAACTTTTGCTTGCTGTGTCTCAGTTTGTGAAGGAGGTCTTCTGATGGAAGAAAAATCCTTCACAAATCTCCTATAATATGTGAAAAGTTTCAGGAAACTTCTCAGCTTACAGATATTTCCAGACCATCTCCAGTCTTTAACTGCCAACACTTTTTCTGGATCCGTATATACACTTTCGGCAGAACTAACATATCCAGGGTTAGTAACCTTCTGCCTGAACAATCTACATTTGGCAGGACTTGACTTTAGATTGGCTTCCTTCATGTTCTGAAGCACCTTCCTAATATTTTCTAAATGTTCTTGAAAATGTTTCCGAACAATAAAGATTTTGTTCTGATATATCAAAACAGGCTTTGTTTCAAAATTCTCTCAGAACGGTTTCCATGAAGTTTAAAGCTTGTTGGTCCATTATATAATTCGAACGACATTACCTTGAACTGCAAAGTTCTTTTCCAATAGTCCAATATAAATGCAGTCTTTTCTTGATTATCAGAGTATATCTCTACTTACCAATACTAATATCCTCTAATTCAGAAGTCAAACAACAAAAATCAGCGTTATATTTACAAAATTTTCACAGGACTAGTTTCGATGGTTTTACCGAACCACCATCTTCAGCTGCAAAACTCATTTGCGGTTTTGCAGCTGAAGATGGTGGTTCGGTAAAACCATCGAAACTAGTCCTGTGAAAATTTTGTAAATATAACGCTGATTTGTGTTGTTTGACTTCTGAATTAGTATTTATTCGGCGTGTTATTGTGTCTTACTAATATCCTCTATTTAAATCAAGCATTGAAAATTGCTTGCTTTCAGAAAGAGTGTCCAGAATGTCAACTGTTCTAACAAGAAGGTAGCTGTCTTTCTTCATGACATTGTTCAACCAGCAGTAGTCAAAACAAAATCAAGTTGAACCATTTTTCTTTCTGACGAGGGCAATGGGAGAGGCCCAAGGACTTGCTGAAGCCTTAGTAACATCATTTTCTTTCGTGTTTTCTAGAAGTTTTCCTACTTCTTCTTGTTTAGCAGTCAGTAAACATCTTGAATGTTGCTTGATTAGTGGATGATTCACCATATCAAATTTTATGCTGTACCAAACTGGTTCAGCCTATGTGTCGAAGAAAGCATATTGAAATTCTTGCTGTAAATTCCAATGTTAGGTTCTCTGAAGACACAGAGATTGATGGACTATTGGTTTGTTTAATGTAGGTCACTGGAGTTCATGATTTCATGCTATAACCACTTCGCCTTTCCTAATGACTTTTGCTTTAACAATTGTCTATATTCTCGGGTCTCACTGGGATGACAGTCTTTGTGATAGGTCATTAAGTTCTGAGGCTACTAGTACTCCTTTCAGCCTGTTACAGTTTTGGGGTTTTCCATTATGCTGTACTGGAAATTTCTGTTTTCCACTATGGATTCAGGAAGTAAAAATACTCTTCTTGCTGGATGGTACTGTTATATTGTCTTGAGTTGTGATTTTGTGCATGGATTTCTTTAGAATGTCTAGTTCACGTATGCAGTGATCTCTAACATGTGCCATATGAAGGTCACTTCCAAAGATGGTGTTAACTTTTAACTTTCCATCGATGTCAGTTTTATCATTAGGCCTCAGTTTAACACAGAGCTGGCATCCAGATGTTACCTTCCAGTTGTTAAGGTGCATTTATTACTATCATAGTAACTCTGGCTCTTGTATCGATGGTTATATTGCAAGGAAATTTATTTTATATGTCCAAGAGTCTATTACTGCCACCACTTATTGCAGAAATCTAAAGGCCTTTAAAATAGGGCTTCTATTTCTGGCAACCTCCCTGTGAAATGGCCACTAATTAGTTTCTCCTCCTCCTTGCCGGAAGTGATCTTAACTCTCCCGTGTCTTGGGATGTTCTGCAGTCCCTTCGTATGTACGTGCAATCTTCACAGCTCTTAGCACTTCACCGATTTCATCGATTCTACTTACTATCTGATGCATGCCACAGATTTTAACAGTCAAAGAGGGAAGCTTATTATTGAGGTGGCTACTGCCATTTAATGAGTACCGTTGCCACTGTCAGCAATTTCCTGCTAAATATTCTGTATACCCTGCAGCACAGCATTAAGAAAATAATGTTTAGCATTGGTCTTTCTGTCCTGAATTGTTGCCAGCACTGTTGACGGCATTACCTTGAATTTTACTGAACATTGCCAGCTAGTTCACTTCCTAATGACTATTTTACACAGCATGTTTTGCACACATACGATTTAAAGCAGTAAGAAGGGTATATGAGTTTTTCTAAAAATTTAATTAATAATTTTTATTCAATAAGGGCAAGTGGCAACAATAATGAATAACAGGGCTTTGGTTTGGACAACATGCTTTTATTTGTTCAGTTCCTACTTGCTTGATAGATCCTCAAGTTTTTTCATTGATGGTTCTTAAAAGCCTTATAATGCTTAATTTTCATGTGGAGAAATTTGTATGAACCCTAGTTGGGGTGTCATGCATGTCCATTATTGTTGCTACATCACACTGGTGGCAATGTAAATGGGTTAATAATATAATGAGCGCTACAGCAGTGTTCCAGATATCTCATTTACTTCTAAAATTCTAAAACGTTCTGGAGTTTTCTGGGTAGCTGTGTGCTGGACAGTTGAGCTCTTACTGTGTATTTTAATAATCAATTGTAACTGTTGATTTATCAGTCTTTTTTTTTTTTTTTTTTTTTTTTTTTTTTTTTTTTTTAGAAAAAATAGATCATATTTTTTCAATTTTCATTTTTTTTTTTTTTTTTGTTTTTTTTTTTTTTTTTTTTTTTTTTTTTTTTTTTAAAACTGAAATTTTTTTTGAAAATTTTTGAATTTGAAAATTTTTTTAAAAAAAAATATTTTTGTTGTTGTCAATACTTAACATTGTACAAGAGTCATGAAAGTCAAATTCAAAATAACTTTTAATGTTCTGTGTATATATTCCAAAGTGTGAAACAGTAAATTCAAAAGGCCCTCATATATAAGTTATATAGCACAGTTATAAGTTATATAGCACAGTTATAAGATATATAACTATTGAAATTAATTTCTATATTCAGATTAAACTGAATTTTAAAAAACATTTTATTAGAAATTGAGATGTAATATCACAGATCCCATTTAATTGTTTATAAATTATGTAAACTTATTTCAGAGGATGCAGAATTGCAAGAAAGAGTATCTTTGACTAACTTTCAGCAGCTTGTTAATTATACTTATGAAATGTTAGCTCTCTGGAAAGTACTCTGTGATCACAATTTTCAAACAATTGTTAGTTTCTTACCTCAGGTAATTATCTGTAATTTCTAACATTTTTCAATAATTAATAATAATCGGTACTTCATTAGCATGCCTGTTGCTTTATTTTGGTGTATTTTAATCTGTTATTCTGTTTTATTATATTTTATGTCTACATTTTTTCTTATGAAAAATTTATACATATATGGAAGCCTTCTTGACCAGTGGCTTGAGTGGGATTGAGAGTGAAAATTACTTTTTCATCCAAGACATCCACTACTGAAATGAATTAAGTACTTGGATGTTTTCAATTTATTCTGCATATTGTTTGCTAAATTAAGAACCATTTACAGTCAAAAGTCGTTAATTCGGACACCCATAATCTGAACCTCAAAGCTAAAAACTTTCTGCGCATGCGCCGCGTTGACACATGCGCATAGGCGTTTACGCATGCGCGTAAGACCTTTTACGTCTGCGCATATGAGTGTGCGCAAGCGCAAAATACGTTTTCGAGTGCGTGTTTTACGTATAATGGATGGTATAAGCTAAAATTATCTAATTATCTATTTCAGTTAATGTTGATGATTGCGTGTTCCTTAATCTTCGAATCGGATCCGGCTTATTATTTTTTGCAGACTGTAAAAGCAATTTTATAAAAGTAAACTTGAACTTTCGATTATGTCAAATAGAATTTCCGATTCTGGAGCTCCCAAAGGATCGTACAAAACGAAAGTATGTTTCGATGTCCATCAAACAAAAAGTAAAATTGCTGCAAAAAATGGATAAAGACATGAAGAATGTGACATAGAGGTTAGTGAAAATGAAAAAATTTCGATTGACAAGTTAGTCGGTATTCTCGGCACAGCAATTACGGGACTTGAACAGCGGAACTTTGTAACTGAACAAGAAATTATGTCTGTTTATAGAATTAAAGAGAAAGTATTATCACATAAAACGAAGCAACTGAAACAACTTACATTGAAAGAAATGTTTAATAAAGTAAACAAATAAATATTAAGCTTTTTTTTTTTTTTTTTTGTAAATTTTGATACCCTTTAGATCATAATTGTTCTTTATTTCATAAATTACGGTTTCATATTTTTAATTTTAGAATGTCTGCATGCCATCTATAATCCGGAATCGCCGAGGTCCCGACGAGTCCGGATTAATGACTTTTGACTCTATTTGAACTAACATATTCCAAATCTAGTATGATAATGTACAGAAGCAAACTACATCAACATCTTTTGTCATGAATTTGTCATGAAAAAAATAAAGAACCTTCATTTTCAAGCATTTCTACTGTTTATCTTCTGCACTTTTTTTTAGATACGTTTCCGTTATTCCTTCCTAGTGCCAAATTTCATCTCTGCTAAAAGACTAGAATAAGAAAGTTGTTGAGACTGATATTCTTTAAGTTTGATGCAGTGATAAGGTGTTGATAAAATTTCCATAACAGTGTCAAGTATGATATTTTTAAATACAAATGAGTTGTTTTTGAATTTTTGTAAATGAGAATTATTCTTCATACAAGATTTCAGTGGCATCACTATAAACTTTTCTGGTGTATGATGTTCCTTTTCTCAGTTAATGTCATGGAGATGGGAGCAGTTTGTTCAAATATGTAATTTTTAATAAATGAATTTACTCTTCTGATGAATTCTACCTTAAAAAAAGTGGGTTTGTTAGTTGGTTAATAATTAGGACAAAATGGACAAGGACTAGCAGCGTAAGAAAAAAGGTGCCCTATAGAAAATTTTGTTGAAAAACTGTTTCATATTTATGGTAAACATAATACAAGAATTTCACAAGCACCTCCAGAAATTTGGCAAACTGTTAACTCCTGAAAATATGTTAGAAACTACTTCTGGTTTCAAAAAGTTGGACGCTTTTGAATATACTTTCAGGATACTTCAAAGAATTTAGGTGTTCAAAGAGAAAACACTTGGACATATACACCAGCAAATACCATCAATTGAGCTTGTGTTAACAGAAAAGACAAAAACGATATCATTGCAGATTAAAGTGAAGAGCGACTGGTTTTAGACTATTTGGTTGTATAAATTTAAATTACGTTATACAACATCATATCGTATCATAAACAGAGAATCCCATGATTTCTCAGTCGAATTATTTGAAGGTTCAGGAGTTTATCCAGTGATGTATGTGGGTGTCACCTAAAGATTTTTTTTTTTTTCCCCCTCCTGATGAAACAGCAGCCAAGCGGTAAAGTCGCTGAACACTGGTAGTTTGGTCCGAGGTTCGAATCCCGCGAACAGGCCAGCTGCATGGGCGTTTTCGTGGTTTTCCCCATATGTAACGTGTATACGAGCCAGTTTCCCTTAGAAAGTCCTCCACAAAGGCATCTCTTCCCTTAGGCAGATAGCCCTAGTGTGCTTTGTCATAATTAAATAAACCAAAACCTCTTGATGAAACCAGTCTTTCCTTTCATCTCATACCTTCAAAATGCTTAGCATGTGAAGACTGATAAAGGCTCTGACCAAATACTGATGAAATGGATTGAATTGGATTATTAAATTATGGCAAAGCAGGGCTATCTGCCTAAAAGGAAGGATGCCTTTGTGAAGAACTTTCTAAGGAAAACCTGCTGCCATACACGTTACACATAAGAAAATCCTCGAAAATGCCCATGCAACCAGCCCGTTTACCGGGATTCGAACCCTGGAGTGAACCAGCAGTGTTCAGCTACTTTACCGCTCGGCCATTTGTGGGCCTTTATGAAATGGAAGGCGATAACTTTATTTAAAATAATTGTCAGAAATACCAAGATGTTTCGAAAAGTTGGATGTTTTTTAATATACTTGCAGAATACTTAAAGAAAAAGAGCAAGTGTGAAGCAGAATGCCTGAAGGAAAAATAAATTTTTGCATAAAATTTAGTATTTTTTTTTTTTTTTTTTTTTTTTTTAATTTAAAACTTTTTAATGTTATGATATTTGATTCTTGCGATTTCAAAAATAAAATATTTGACTAAAATATGAATAACATGTTAAGAAACCAAATGTAGGATAAAATTGTGTAAAGCAACATGCATAATGATAAAACTGTTTAAACCAGTGTATGCAAGTCATCCTAAGTTAAAATGTCGGTTATACATCTCCTCTTATTTATATATTTCTTTTCTGAGCGGAACAGTTTGGGTTACAAAGTATTCTTCCGAAAGAAATGCAATTCAAATAAATAAAATCAAATTCTGGGAAATTTATATTAATAAATATATTTAAAATGCTCAGTTCGAATGAATAAATAGAAAATTTTAAAATGATTATCTGAAGAGACAATGCAACACTAACAATTAAAATAAAAGTCTAAAAATTTAAAAATTACCTAAAATAGTAACTATGACTAAAAGTATAAAGAAAATAATATAGTATAAAGAAATATATATATAATATAATAAATAGTAATAAAGAAAACTATTTGAAAAAAAATAAAACGATGCACCTTTGATTTAAACTACGCAGTTCGATAATAAGTAAATAGAAATTTTTAAAACAGTTATTTGAAAGAAACCATGCAACTTAAACAAGTAAAGTGAAATTTGAAAAAGAAAAAATACTTAAAATAATAACAATTATAATTAAAAATATAATATAAAGACCATTATCTGAAAAAAAGAAGTTTCCCCCTCATGCGCGGGGTAAAAAGGGAAAAGAAAATAGCTTGTCATATATTAAGAAGTTTGCCAAGTGAACTAAGCGGCAACATAAACTGTTAAATTTCTTCGTAAATTTCGCACAAAATTTTACAAAATTTAGTATCTAGGCATAATTTGAGTCATGAAATTGAAATATGTAAAAAAAAAAAATGTTATTTCAGAAAAAGTCCAATTTTGTGTCAAAATACCTATGTTAGAATAGTGTTATATGTAAATCTAATGTATATCCTTATTCATGCTTTCGAGACATAAAGAACGCAATTTGAATTTCGTGAATCGGCCCAGTAAAGCGGGAGATATAAACTGTCCCCCCCTTTTTTGGGAGGAGCAGTGTACATGGTTGATGTAAACAAATTAAAAAGGAAATATGGCCGTGTAAAATTTTAAATTAGATAGATTTTTTCTGGACTGGTGAGGATTTTTTTTTTAGCTACTGAAGAAAACGGACCTATATCTCTCATTGCCCTCGAAATCTATGCCAAACAGTTATGTTTTTTGCCAAATTTTAAATGATTGATTAAAATCGAAACCAAACTGTCTGGGAACTTTTTACCGTTTTTGGCGATATTACTCTGTCATTTGGTAATTTTTTAAACCTCTTTTGACCTTAGTTTATATTCTTATGTTTTTTATTTGGTGATTTTACTTCGTTTTAAAATTCGTTCTGTGATATTTTTATCATATTAACTGAATTGTTGATCACAGGGTTTATATATATATATATATATACAAACTGGTGAAAATTCAGGAGTTTGATTTCAATATCCAAATGATAATATTAACTGTGATCACATTAAGCAGCCTTTACTGTAGTTTCATGTTAAAAATAATTTTTGAGCAAGCATATAAATTTTTTTTGAATACTAAATTTTCATTTATAAAATTAAATTTGTTTTTAGGAGCAGCAGGATTTGATGAAGCTCTTGACTTTCAAAGATTTTATCATTGATGGAAAAGAGGTAATGGTATATATCGATTACTTATATACATTACTGTTAAATCATTCTGTTAATTCATAAAGCTCAACTCTCATTTTTGCTTTAAAGTAAAATATATGTATAACTTATATTTATTTTAAATTGTTTCATTTATCTTAATTTATCATGGTTAAGTTTTTATGTCAATATCTTTAAAATGTGCGTCTCATTTGCCATTTTATTTTACACAAATGTAGTTGTGCTAAAAATTTCTGAATGAGTGTTGTATCATTCATAGACTTAATGTATTATGTAATTCTATTTTTTAATCATAATTATTTATTTGTAATCATAATGTAATTCTCTTTTATCATTCTATTTTTTTTTTAAAGTATTGTAAGTTTAATAAAAAAAAAATATTCAAATTCATTTCATAAATTTCACAGAAAGAATATTCTACAAGTTTGTGAGAAATAAAAACAGATAGTATTATTCCTGTGTAACTAAGTATAAATTTATTTAAAAAAAGGAAACTCTATTTGTACAGAAATCAAAATGAAAACTTCCTGTAAAAAAGTACCAAATTTGCTTATATATTTTCTTTTACATATGTCTAATAGTATTTTAAGGGTGTGATTTAGAAACTTTTCATTTTTTTAATGAGTTTCAACTTATTCTTTGACATCATGCACTTCTTAATGTGACTGACCATTTCTTTGAATTTTTCATATTGATATTTTTTCACATGCATTTCAACCCTTTGAAATTCTAACTGAGGATATTCATCCTCTTCTGCTATAAGGAGGAAAATAAAGTAGACAGAATATAAAGACATGTCTTGCTTAAGATTTAATCGCCAGCAGATGCTGGCACAGAAGTGTAAAATATTTTTGTACAAAGGTTGCTATTTCCGACCGCATATGATTCTAATCGAAAGTTTAATATTTTTAACCATAATTTCGTCAGAACATTTTGTCATTTTAGCATTTTGTGTTTTTTACAGTAAATTAAAAAATGGAATTGACTTGTGAACGTTTTCATGCGATTATTTTTCATAACTTTCAACATGAGTTGTCAAGACAGAGTGCTTCAATAAACTTAATTCTTTATACAGCAATAAAGCACTATGCTACAGCTCTGTAAAAAATTGGTATAACAAATTCAGTCATGATCACCATTCACTCCAGGACGAATTCTTTGAATTTTGTCCAAAATCGGTTGCTGTGCCAGAAAACATTGATGCTATGCATGAATTGATAAAGCAAGATCATAATGTGACTTACCATGCAGTTGAGGCATCTTTGGGCATTATTATGACAAGCATCAATAAGATTTTACATGAACATTTGATCATAAAAAAGATTTGTTCGCATTGGGTTCTGCATAATCTGGCAAATGCTCAAAAGAAGCCTAGTGTTGATTGGTGCAGGAAATACATGAAAAATACGTTCAAAGGGCATCACATTTACACAGGTGACGAATCATGTATTTATGCATATGAGCTTGAAACAAAATAGCAGTTGACTGTATGGATCTTCCAAGACGAGCCAAATCCAACGAAAGTTGTTTGTGGAAGATGTAAATCAAAGTAAATTGTTGCCTGTTTCTTCAGCATCACCAGTCACATAGGGACTGTGGCAATAGAGGATGGTCGATTCTGAATGGTACAAGGCCGTTTGTTTACCAGAAGTCATCAGAGAAATTCGAAAAAAGCAGAAGAGGTGAATCATTCTTCATCATGACAATGCGAGCTGTCACACATCAGCTAAAAAAAAGGAATTTTTGATGGGCCAAAACATCAAATTTATGGGTTGTACAGCCCGGATTTGGCATCCAGTGACTTTCTTAATCACTACATCAAAAATAAGTTATGTGGTCAGCAATATGGAACACCAAAAGAAGCAGTTGATGCATTCAAAATACGTGTTGTGGAGTTACATCAATCAGAGTGGAAAAAGGTCTTCAAAAATTGGTTCAAACGCATGGAAAAATATATTGATCTTCATGTAGAATATTTTGAAAAACAATAAAACTGATTTCGATTAGAAACATTTGTTTTTCATTATTAGGCCAGAAATATAAATAGCTACCCTCGTAGTTGGTGGGAATGGACACCTTTTTTTTTTTTTTTTTTTTTTTTTCCAGATATTTTGTTTTTATTCCATGGAGTTCATCGTTTATATTTTTCTCTTCTGTATTTTCAAGGGGTAAAATTAGAGGGGAAAGAAGAGGAGACTACACATGTGGATACAATGTTAGTTACTAACTTTTAAATTCTATTTCTTTAATTAAATTTTTTTACTTTTTGTTTTTAATTTATTCTGCTTAGCATCTTTATCTCGTAAAGAGGAAAAACACTATTAATAAATCCAGCTTCCATTTTATATATGACTTTAAATGTCAATTATTCTCCCAGTCACGTACTTTAAGTCATCTTCCTCTTTTTTTTTTTTTTATTTATATATATATATATATATATATATATTATATATATATATACAGGGTAGCCATCAAAAACTTCCCCGATATATGAACTCCTAACAAATCAAAATGAAATTTTAAATAATGTTATTTGAAGATATGCACTTGAAATTATGATGAATTAAAGTAACAGAGCTCTCATGGTTACAGTGAAAAAATATTTTAATTTTGAAATGGCAACCTCCCTTTTTTTTCCCAGCACAAATTTATCAGTGTATTGAAAAGCCATAAATGAGATTGGAATAATGTATATATGACTAAAATTGCTGGCATAAAACATTTGCAAAGAAGAGCATTGTAAAGGGCCAAACACAGAGGAAATGCATTGATGCAATTTATATAATTCATGGGGACAAACAGTAGAGGTACAACAGGGAAACAATGAGGTTTATTGATAAATCTGTTTTATCAGAATGGGGAAATGATATCAAAGCAGTGTGAGTTTATTGGCAAAATCATACGACAAGGCCCATGTTCTATAAAATCTGTATGTGATAAACATTTGAAGAAACTAGATGTATATATGATAGACTGTGATCTAGATGACTTTGCAATTTTTTTCCTAATTTATATGATGAAGATAGCAGCGGATATTACTATGAATGACTGCTGCAGATAATGTAAATGAATGAGGCGCATTTCTTCTTAACTGGAGTGTAAACTCCAAGAAAGGCATTCATTAGGCTGACTAAAATTTTCATGATGTGGCACCAATGCCTTTACATGAATTTAAAGTGACTCTGTTGTGCAGTATTGCAAGCACGTTCATTCTCAGTCCATGCTTCTTCTAAGTGGTCACTTTCACAGGTAACAAAACGTGCTCCATCACTAGTGCTTGGTATACAGCGAACTATGTAATTGCAGTAGTGAAATGTTGTTATTGACATTGTACAGATGCAAGATAGTGCTTCGTCACGTGTCGGCGAATGCTACAACTGCACTTTGGAGATAAGAATCACCCCTTGTAACTGTGCAGTTTTCACTTCGGTGGATTTCTTGTTCTGGGATTATCTAAAATCTAAGATGTCCATGTCAAATCAACAAGATTTGTCAGAAAAAAACAATGCCATAAAATGTGAAGTTACAGATTCCTTCTGCAGTGCTGCATTCATCATTGTTGTCATCAATCTCCCACATGCAATACATTGTTGTCTACGAGGGTAAACACATTGAAAACCTGTAATTCTTCTCTCCTTTCTTGTGTTGCCATTGGTCCTTTGCAGTGCTCTTTTTTGCAAATGTTTTATGCCTGCAATTTTCGCCATACATGTATTGTTCTGACACCATTTATTTTTTTTTTTTTATGTGCAAACCCATTTTCACAGGAAAAAAGTGGGTGTTGCCATTAGAAAAATTCAGAATGTTTTCCCTGTAACCATACCCATGAGATCTGTGTTATTTTTAATCATCAGAATCTTAAGTGCATACCTTCAAATAAAAATATCTAAAATTTTCATTTTTATTGCTTGATTGAATAGGCCACTTGGGGTTCATATACCAGGGAAGTTTTTCTATGGCTATTCTGTATATAATTAAGATACAATAACACACCAAACAAATATTAATTTAGAAATCAAACAACAAAAATCAGCGTTATATTTTCAAATTTTCACAGGATTTTTGAAAACATAACACTGATTTTTGTTGTTTGATTTCTAAATTAACATTTTGTATATGCTGTATAATGTGTGCCTTAATGTCATATAATTAGAAACTTCTTTTGTACTTTTATTTAGTTTCATGACTAAAAATTATCAAAACATGACCTCATGGCTTTAGAAAGTTAAAAATGCACCATCAGGTTTTTTTAAAAAAATAAGAAACTTCTACAGCATGTTGACAATGTGCAAAGTTTAAATGTGAACAGAGAAAAATTATGCATTTTCCTGAAATGTTGCTAATAACAATTAATTGCATTTTCAGCTGTCTGCTGGTTTAACCAATGCTTTAATAAACTTATACCTAGAAGATAATGCTAGCACTGGTACAATCAGTCAGCGTCTTAGAGAACTCTGTCCTTCAATATACCGTATCGAAGATGCTACAGTCTCAAAGGTATAATTTACATATTTTCATGTTTCTGTTGTCTGTCATGATTGTTTTGAATAGCCATCTCACAGTTTTCAGTATTTTTTCAGTTTATTTATTTTTTAATTTAATTTAAGAATTTTATATATTTTAAAATTATTATGAAGAAATTAGGTAGAATATCTCTATCAATTCATATTTATACAACAGAATGAAAGTAATCCTGTATTTGAATAAAATAATCAATTCTTGAATTACCAAGTCCAAAAACTTTATGATATCATGTAGAGAAATACTTTTCTTACCACATTTTCAATTAGCATATTTTTTAATTAATATGGTTTATTATTTCATTTAACACAATCTGAGCAGTATTTTTGTAAAAGTTTCGATTTCAGTTGAGTGATGTGTATTTTCCAATTAATACACTTGATCAAAAGCGTTTTCATACAAGCAGATGCTTTTGATCATAAGTCACAGCACGAGGAAATTTTTACTAATTTAAAGAAGTGTGAGTGTACTTTTTTTGTAGAAATGGAGAAGGAGGAGGAGGCTTTGAACTCCACCATCTATTTTTATAGGCAATGAAAGGGAATGAATTCTCAGCCTTTTCGAAGTGATTCATCATTTAAGGAAGTTCCAGTAATGCTACTAACTAAAGTATTCAAGATTTGGTGAATGGCATACAAAACTTTCATACTTTGAATGATGATTGCAAAGCAGAAATGTTAAGGCTTCATGAAATAAATGACTTCAGACTATTGTGAACAAAAACAAAAAAGAGCATGGTGCCAGGTAACTGTATGTTATTTCCACATAGCAATATCTATGTAAGAATTTAAGTCAAAACTGCAACAATCAAATGAAGTTGTGCTGACTTCCGTGTACATCAAAAAATTAAAGGGAAGGGAGGAAAGCTACATCTGACAGAATTTGTTGTTGCAGATTGGTCTTACAGATTTGTAGCTTTACATGTAATAAAAGAATTTTAAAAAAATTTAGTTTTTAACTACTATTGTTCCGCTTTAAATTTTATTCTGCCATCCCTGAAAGGCCACTCGCTGCCACAATAGTTATCTGATGACTTTGATCCAACAACAGTAGCAGGTCTTGTATACTTTTCTTTGAATAATTCAAATTTAGTTTCTAAGGTTATTTTTATTCTACTATATTTATGAATAGGAGACCAATGTAACGGATGCCAAAATGTTTATGTTAAAAGTAAGTGAAAGGTTATTAGAGCAAATATTTTAATTAGTTAAAAGATACATGAGTATGGAAAGAAAGTCTCAATTGGTATCTTTTTTTGGAACAAAAAAGTAACAGTATGATCTATTCTGCGGCGGGAGCTAGATTTCTTTGTGATCAGCTTTAATACAGTCTACTTGAAATCAGCATGAGGAAATTATTGGAATGGGATGTTCCTCATGCATATGAAATTAAGCCTATAACTTGATTCACGCCTCTGCTGCTACTACATTATCAATAGGAAAAGTTTAAGCCTTTTTTCCTCTGTAAGAGAATACAGTAAAGCAGTAAATAAGAAGGATTTTGTAGGCAGCTTTGGGTGGTTTGAATATTTAAAAAGCATTTTGGCTTTTATACTATAAGAATCATGGTTAGTCTGTACGTGCAGATGTGGAAGCTGCAGAAACTTTTAAATGTGAATTAAAAAGAAGTGTTGTATAAGAAAAATATGATGATGCAAGCAAATATTTAATGCTGATGAAACTGCTTAATTTTCAAAATAGTGTATGCTTTGAAAACATTTCTTGCAAAAAGTAAAAGTTGTTGCTGGTTAAAAGTTATCAAACTACTGAATCAGAATTTTAATGGAAGGAAATACTCATGATGTTAATACTGATGGTCATAAATCTTATTCAAAATTCTATAGTCTTTAGAGGTGTAATCAGAAAGTGTTACCTGTCTTGTTGCTGACACTTAAATAAAAAGTGTGGGTAAGGTATTTGCTATCTGAATATTGCTATAAAACCTTTTTCTGTCCATCACTGAAAAGGTACCGAGAACAAAATTATTTGAGCTTTAAGATTTTATTACTTTTAATAGAGACTTATGTCAGAATGTTAAAATTATGTTTCTGCCTGCTGTGTAGGAGCCTAGACAATTTATAGACCATGGAGTATTTGTAACCTTTTAGCCCCATTAACTGAAACTGAATTCAGAACGAGCATTGTAAGATATTTAAATTCAAGGTTGAGAAATGAAACTAAAAATATTGGGATAACTTCCATAGTAATTTAGAAACGAATGATATCAATGAATATCAGAGCTGTGTGGAAAGAACTTTTATCTCATTAGTGCAACTGATTATGTTAAGTATAGCTGGTCCCAGCTGTTTATGAAATTGCAGTCATTGGATACAAATCATATTTCAATGCAGTAGACTGAATGAATGTGCAAAAATTGTTGTACTCACATAGCAAAAACTATCTCATTAACATTGATTAACAGGAAACAAATGAATATCACTAGATAAATTTATTAATGGAGAAAAACTCTATCAAAAGTGAAATAAAGTAGTTGCAGGAAAGATTTTTTACTGATAAGAAGTTGTAAATATTAATAATGAATTTGGATCCAAATCTAGAAAAAAATATTAATTTAAAAGTCAAATAACAAAAATCAGTGTTATATTTGCAAATTTTCAGAGGACTAGTTTTGATAATCCTGTGAAAATTAGCAAATATAACACTCATTTTTGTTGTTTGACTTTCGGCATGTTATTTTAACCGAAATTCTAGAAAGGAATGCTTAAGTTCACTGTGTGATTAACAGTGCTTTGAACTGCTATAAGAAAAACTCTGAAGAGAAAAAAGAAAATGGAAAGTGCTCAAACCCTTTAGATATTTTTTTTTAAAGTGTTGATAAGTTTTGCTTCCATAGTAATTTTTTCATAGTTATTAGTCCAAAAAGGGCTTTGCCCCTAAAGGACTGTTGTTTTTGTTTCGCGATTTTGCGTTGAATCGCTATAAATGTCCGTTTCACTTTTCAAGATGTTGCCACCAAATGTTGGTCTTATTATTATCATTATTATTATTATTTGCTTGTTTTTTTTTTTTTTTTTTTTTTTTTTTTGCTTTTTAGTGCTTTTTTTTATTTATTATTTTATTATTTTTATTTTTTTATGAATGCACATTTTTTCCCCACCCGGTATCTAAAGTCCGAAACTAAATAAACAACTTTCATTCCTTATGGTGGAGTGTCAGATGGTGAGTCATACTCTCGGAAATAGCTTTTCTCCCCTTTCTCTGCATTAACGTAAACTTTCGTTTCGTGCGAAGTAGAGATAGGTGCACTGTCATTCTATTGGTCAAAGAATAGTGAAAGTGCTAGAAAATTCTGGTACATTCCATGTTCTTTTCTTCCCACCCACAGACTATAGATGTTTGAATTTTATATCAAGATTTTAGTAATCTGCATTCTCATTCTGTGTGGTCAGTTCATATTCGCGTTTATTATGATCAGTTATGCTTATATTATTAGCATATGTATGAATATTTATTAATAATAATATTTGCAGTAAATGCTGAACGTATAAATAAACTTCATAAATGGGTGAGTGTGTTTCAACACAGATTAGTTTTCTAAGGAATAATATTTGGAATGGCATAAATAAGGTGAAAGTAATCAAATAGTCATTCCCCCCCCCCCAATGCATTATGCATACAGTACGGAAGTTGGGGGTTCTCCCCGATCTCTGCAAAATCCCGAATATTGAAACCATTACAGTTTGCAGCAAAGCAAGCAATGAACTTTTTTTTTTTTTTTTTTTTGTCACTTTCCAATCTGGCTTGAATAGCACTAAAAGTTCTGTGGTCTCCCAACCCAAGCGAAGAATAATTCTATTACGGAAATTCAGTGCAGTCTGTTCAAAATTAGAAGGAAAAACCTGATTGGTAAGTCTCTTTATTACTCAATATGAGTGTGGCAGGGATATCACACGCGGAGCACGACGTGTCCTGCTCAGTGATAAATGTGCAACATGGGTGCATGACAGTGAAAACCAGATGAAGCAAAGAGGCGTTTTCCTTTATTTAGTTATTTATTCTCCAAATACCAGCAGCTGTTGATTCCGATTGCATAATATCACATGCTAAAAATAAAGGCGCACATATTGCACAATAACGTTTGCAATATTTTGCAGAAATAAAAGACTTTTACTGTGCTTCCTAAAGCAGATTATTTTTCAGTTCCATTTGACTATTTTTATAAGATGCATATATTGAAATGTCAAAAGCATTGTTTAGCTGAAAAATCTAAAGAATGACTACAATCTACCTTCCTTCCACTTTTACCAATTATGCTCGACTATTCGCAATTTTCAGATATTCAGCAATTTCAGTGTATGCTGGTTAGTTAAGCTTTTACTGTTAAAGGATGACTCCATGAAGCAATTTCCAGTCTTCTGATTTCAGAAAAGTTCCTTTTTTTACTTATTTTTACTTACTTTGCGTGCAATATCTGTTAACTTTTTCGCGACGGCGTACCTTTGTTTAAGACGCTCGTGCGGGACGGAAGAGAATCAAAGGCAGTCACTGTACAGGATGGAGGTTTTATATCGCTAAACCTAATTTTATAACAAAAATCGGAAAAACAAAAGTTTTGCTTCTAGCATCGTAATTTTTGGTATCATTTTAGATTATTACTTGAGCTCTTATATATGTTAAAATTAGCCCTTAAAACATTTTTTTCTTTATTTTACATGAAAATATACTGAAAAAATTGCATATCTTCTAAAATTTTCGGAAGCGCTATTATTATATTCAAATTATTCCAAAGTTTTAATTGATAAAATCCATCAATAAATTTTAAATTAATAAAAAGAACACAATAAAAACTATTTACAGTAAGAAGTAACAAAATTTAAAATGGAAACGAGTATGGTAAATCTCGAAGCACAGAGAAGTATCACTTTGTTACTCTTAGAAAAACTATCACTCTTTAAATCTTTAGAAAATGAATCAGTACTCTCATTTGCATTAGTAAATGGTTCACTAACCATACTAGGGTATTCTTCCTCTGATAAATAGCGCGTTCCCACCATAATAGACTGGAGGTGATTCTTCCTCTGATAAATAGCGTCTTCCCACCATAATAGACTGAGGTGAGGCTTTCCTAAATAAAAAGAGAAGGAACGGAAATATATCTGAAGGTAATGCAAAATGTAAAAAAAACTACGCACACTAACACTAAAAGACCGTACATAGTAGAGGGAAAAAATAGAATAAAAAAAGGAATTGGATATAAATCAGATACGAGAATGTTTTCATTAGCACGCAGCGATTTAAAGAGTCCACCTCTGTATACGCTTTCCCTCCCCCCCCCCCCCCCCCCCCACCCTCGAACAGCTGATGAGTAAAATACCAAAGTCAAGCAGTATATATCAAACTCAAGGTCAGGAACCTAAAACTGTGCTCATTTCAAAAGTAATAGACACAGGATGCCATCTAGTCGCCTTCAGAAAAACGTTCCACCTTAAAATGCGTATACGCATCACCCGTCCTCTGAATGCGATCTTTACTGATGCGTGGATGGGACGCCCGGCTGTAAAAGACGTTCTTAGGGAATGTGTATTCTTGACACCCGTCCTGAAAGGGTTAAGGGAAAACTGTTATACAGTGAAAATTTAGAAAGTGTATCAGAATTTTAAGTTAAATTATTTAAATATTAGTGGAAAAATAAATACAGGTGCCAAGCGAATAAAATAAATATGGCTTATTATTATTTATTTTCTCTATTTTGAACTGAAATTTCATCATTAAATCTTGTAATATAATTTAGTTTTTTTTTTTTTTTTTTTTTTTTTTTTCTCCCTTTCATTATAAACTAGTAGTCTGTAAACTGAACTGTTATTTAAAATTATTTTTAAAAAATGTAATTGTTTCCTATGGTTGAATAATGCTCATTCTCTCTTAATAAATACTGAATTTCTCATATTTTAATGTGCAAGTCTTAATTTTTCTTTTAAGACTATGCAGTTGTCTATAATGTAATTAGACAGGTGCTTTTTTCTTTCTTAAAATGTGCTTGAAAAAGGCTTATAAGTGCTTTTTTTTTAACTAAAATGCAGCTATGAACCCTGTATTAATAAAATATATATTTCTTCTAAATTTGTCTTTTTGTTATTGCTTTTAAGGTTTAATCAAGTTAGAAATTGTGTTTACATTTATGAATATATTTTTAGTGGTCCTATTTTTTATGAAATTTATATATTTTACCAACTTTTGTTCACTTTTAAATTTATTTTTATAGGCACATGAAATAGTATTAAATGCAAAGAATATTATAAATAAAGCTGAAAAAGAGCAACAATTGATGGAAGCCTTAAAAGTATGTTTTATTTTTATTTTTTTTTTATTTTTTATTTATTATTATTATTATTATTATTATTATTATTATTATTTACTTTTATATTCATATATGTAAGTTAACAAAACTATCAGTGCTATTTGGATATTTATTTAATTTTATATCTCTTTTTGGATCATTTTATTTAAAAAAGGTGTATGAGCATAATCATTTGAAAGTTGTAATAAAAATAAAAGAGAATGAAAGTATCATCATATAAAAGCTATTTACAAAAGAACTTTTACAATCAAATGTTGTACTTCTTCCATAATCTCTTACCTATCTGTTATTTATTCTCAGTATTTTGAAATTCTTGGATATATTTTATTCTTGAAACCTAGAAATTGTTTTTTGTTTTAAATTTATTTAGAACCTGTTCTAAATTAGGATGATTATTTAGAACTGATCTGATACCTGTTGGCATTGTTATTCAACTGTTGACTAACTTTCATTAATACCAATAGGCCTTTAAAACCTGTTGCAGGTAAATTTATTTTCATGGGCACATTTGTTAAAACCTTTATTGACTGGTTTTTAACAAAGATAATTTTTATATATAAAATTTTTTCTTTTGCTGATAATTTCAGAGTGTAATTTAGGAAAGAGTTAGTAACAGAGTATAATTTAGGAAAGATTTAGTAAGAGAGTGTAATTTAGGAAAGAGTAACAGTGTATATGGACCATGCTGTGATCCTTCACCTGTATTCATGAAAGAACCTATTCCCAAGATTGTTAAGGTGAGCACTCAAATAGCAAGAGTATTTAGATATAAACATACAGCTGTGAATCCCCATACATTTCTTTTTAAAAAAAGAGGATTATTTTCATGTTGGTGATAAAATTGCCATTAGACAAAATGGGAAAGTTTTTAATCCATGAGGACCTAATTTATCTGTCAAATTATAACAATATATTGCTCATCAGTGTGACACATTGAACTTCAGGAAAATTATATACATCTTATAATACTTTGATACGTTTAGTGGCAACAAGATTGTTGATAGAATTATAGGATAATTTCTGCTATAGAACACCACACATTAACACTAAACCATTTTCTCCAGAAAGATACAAGTTCGGAATTAATATTTCCATTAAGAAAAAACATACTTTTGCCGTCAGCTCATTTTCATTGTGATATTTTTTTAAATAAGTAATTCTTATGGCTACTTATATTCTGTATTACATTTATATATACATAATTATTCTTGTATATTGTTATATGTAATTAATTCTCTTGGCTAATTATATATATTTATGCTCTTGACTAGTAATTTCAGTGAACAAAAAAAAGGCACACTTTTTCCCCCCTTCCAGTACTCATTCTGAAAACAATAATACTGTAATGAGATATTAAAAAAATTTATTTGTTTTAATGTTGGCCCATATATCTCTTTGTAGAAAATTGTTTCGTATGTGCTGTCTTGTTGTAGGAAAGATGCAAATTTTGCTCTTTAAACTGTCTTATATGTAGCAATTTCATTGTTACTCATCTTTTAAAAAAATTTAATTTTTTGTAAAGATTAATTATTTTTACATTTTTAGTATTATGTATCTTGGCTTTAATTGTATTTATTATTCTTTTAGCTTTGCAAATCAATAACTCCAAATATTGATCTTGGTCTGATGTGTGGACTTTTCCGTAGTGCTGGATTTTACCATGGCATTGTTGATCTATGTCTCTGCTGTGCTCAGCGTCGTGATCCGCAAGGCTTAGCTTTACATTATTATAAAAATGGTGAACCTCAGGATGATCAGCAAGGAATGCAGGCCTTTATTAATCGGTGCTTATTTGTTCTTGATATAATATGCTGTACTTAAAATGAACTCGTAATTTTTGAAAAATTAACGCCATTAATAATAATGCTTTGTTTTTCAATAGTTTATTTTAAAAATTATTTTTTATCATGCATTTAATTGCAAAAATGCATCAGAAATTTATGTTTCTCTGGATAGATTTAATTTTTTTTTTAATAACAAACATAATCTCTTGTAACTGAAAATAAGAACTAAAACAGTTATCAGTTACTTTCAGCAAATATAGAATTATTGCTTTTTAAAATATATATTCAGAAGAGTTATTGCAAATTCTCAAAGTTCAATGCAATATTAACCAAAAGTAATATTCTGTTAAGTATGTGAGAAACAAAAGATGATGCCTCTTTTTATTTTACTGTTATTATAGATCCTTCATCTCAGGATTTAAATTGCCAAAATATATTTCCCAGTGGCCTTACTCAACTAAAATGTGTTGGCAAATATGTCTGCATGTCTCATTTTATTCCATTTTGCCAAAAATTACACTTTTTTACAAATTGAAGACTTGGAGCAATCAGTTGTTTCTTTTTTATTAGCAACATTTTTATCTCTAATGGAAGATTCTCACGTTAATATTAGTGCAGAAAACAGTCGTACAGTGGATTCTGAGTACTTAATGAATGTATAATATTTACTATTTAAATCTCTGAAATATTATTTTTCAGTATTTTTACTATCAATATGACATATCTAATTAATTTTCTTTTCTCCAGACTTAAGCATTTTTGTAAATTTCATACATTTAATGCATAGGTAATATTTTTGCTTTTTTTTATTAACATTGTATTAAAGTTTAAGGCTGTTAATAATCATATAATTGAATCAAGTGAAAGGAAGTCTCAAATCTCTCATTTTAAATAACTAGAAAGGGTAATCTTAAAGATGGGCATGTTGAATTTAAAACAGTTCCCTAAACTAGGTCTTCAACACTGTACATTTAATCATGTGTGAATACAACACCTTGGAGGAAATCAAAAGCACTTCTCCAGTGAGCAAACATACGATAGAGAAGCAAAACAAGCAACTATGTATAGAGTAACTTTTAGAGAGCTAAGTATGGTATAGAAACAACAACAAGTGTGGGGGGGGGGGGGAATCTAAAAGCTTTCAGATTTTACATTATGCGCAAAGGGGCATTTTTTAATATTTTGTGTGTTATTTTTATTTATTAAATATGATGTTCTTTGCACTTAAGCCATAAAGTACAAATCAACAGCAATATCGCAGAATAATTTTAAAATAAAATGAGCATTTCTTTAGAATTTCCAATGCACAGTCTCACGTGCTAGAAATAAAATTCCCATACAGGATTGCCATTACTCACTTTGAAATCTTTGAGTTTGTTAATAAAAAATTCATTAAAGTGGTATAAAATATGAAATCAATAATAAAACAAATTCCAAATTAGGACTTCCAGATGCGCATATTCGGTAGAGGATTATGTTATTCAAAATTTGATATCTCTAGATGCCATTGTTTTATCACTATGCAAGAAACATACATTTATGCAGATTCTTCATTATTAGATTTCTTTAAATATAACACAGGGCGATAATATTTGGTGGCAACAATTTGAAAAGTGATACGGGCATTTAAAGTTTTCAATGCAAAAAGCCAAAACGAAATTAATAGCCCTTCTGAGCTAATGCCCTTTGAGCTAAAAAAAATTTTTTTTTAATTTATTTTATTGTGATATTGTTATGTTCACTTTATTATGGTAGAATCTAACTGAAACTACATCTTGAATTATGCTTGTCTTACAAACCATACACAATGGCTGGTTACTTTCATATTCTGTATATATAAAACTGGTTACTGGTTCTATGAATTTTAAAGAAATATCTTAGTAATACTTCAACATTATATATTTAGTTAATTAATATATAATAGTTATTATATATTAATATTCAACATTATATATTTTTAATGAGATAATTAGATGTAGTCATGTAGAATAATTTTTCAACAATGCATGCCCACTGTTAGTAATACAAGACCCAACCCCCCTTTTTTTTAAAATGTTTGGATGTCATTTTGTAATTTATTTTATGAAATTGCATCTTAAATTTTGATTATTGTGTTTTAAAATGAATTGTGCAATTTTCTGCCTGTGTATATATTTATTTGTGTATAAACAGCAATTTTTAAAAATATTTTTGTAAGGTTATGTGCTATAAGAACATTTTATATTTTAGTTTTAATATGAAGATAACACTAACTTTTAAATCAAGCATAATTTTTTTGAGAGGGGGATATCAATACTTTTTTAAGATGTGTATGTAACTTGTATTGAAATTTTAATATTTTAAACTTTTATTTAACAGAATGAAATGCTACAAACATGTGATTGATGCAATAAATGATCTCATGTCCCAGAGTATGTCTCATCCCCAGTCACCAAGCATTCCTAAAGTTCCTGGTCCACCACCTTCTAGGGATCCAAATCTTTTAGCGCCAGAAGAAGCTAAAGTTTATGTAGGTCTTTTATAATTGTACATTCAGAAAATTTTATAATCAGATAAAATCATAATCTCATTAGCATAAATTATAGAAAAATATTTTTCTAGTTAATTTGTATTCTGAATTTTAAGTAGCATTACATCTAGAAGGTATTTATTTCAGTTATAGTAGCAAGATTATTATCTGTGAGAGTAGCATATAATTGAAAAATGTAGCTTCATTAAGAAAATTTTTATATAAATATATGAATAGTGATAATGTTTGAAGTGTATTTTATTTAGTTTTATTTTTATATTTTCCTCATTTAAAAAAAATTAACAAATACTTTTTTGTTGTTGTTGTTTTGCATTCCTTACAGAATTATTATAAATTAAATATTTGCTTCAAAATTATGAAGCAAGCTCTCATTAAGAAGTCCTCTGAACGCACAGAAATCCGTAGACTAGAGGAAAGTTAAATATTTTAGGTGTAATCTTAGCTTTTATGTTTCAAATTCAGATTTTGATTACATTATGGAAAGTATTCAATTTGTCTTTAAAACAATATCTGTATAACTGGTTGCTTTATTGGCCTGTAAGCTAAACACACATTTCTGTAAAGAAGGATTTTAATTTTTTCTCTTTTATTACTTCCAATATATAGTTACAAAAATAAAAATTTTAAATCAAATTATATATTTTATACTTACTTATTATTCAATCAACTGGGAAAGTTTGCTACCATTGAAACATGAAAGTTGAAGGAGATTCCACCTAAGTCACATCAATCATTCTTGCAGAATTTTTAATTGCAGTGCTATCTGGAAATTTTCCAATAAAACATTTGTCAGTATATCTGCACAATCCACCACATAGTTGTTGCTGCAGAAGTATTAAACCCACTTCATGTTTGCACATTGTAAAAAGACTTTCATCAATTTCTGCTATTTCATTAGGCCTGCCAATTTAATGAAACTCTGTTTAGAACACTCTGAGTGTAAACTTCCTGCAGATGATTGTTCTAGCATATTATTGCTATGTCAGCCATATACAATGTTTTGCCTTAGAATTTTCTCCTTTCAAGAGATGTTTCTTTCTTTTAATTCTTCCAACTAAATGTTAATGAAATGGAATGTAATCACAAATGGGATTCTACAGCCTTCAAATCTTCCCCTGCCCCCCCCCAAATGCAAGGGAAAAATATAGCAATAACAGTTAACTTACATCCTTATTCAAAAAAAAAAAAAAAAAAAAGGTTACTTATCGAGAATCAGTTGGGATAACATCAGACAAAAGCACAGATGAGTGTATTTAACATCATGCATATTTATAATGGGAGTTAAATCGTACTGCTTGATGCTAGTTTCGCAGTTGGCATGACGATACATTACTCTTAATATATAGAGAGATATGTAACATTAGAAACCTTTTATTAATAATAATAATGGTGCAAATGTAAAAATTACCAGTTGGTTATATTATAAATTTTATTAATTAAATGCATTATAAACTATTAAATATGTAGACTGTTTTTAAGTCATTGAATTATATAAGGAATTGCAGTTGTAATCTGAAAGTTTTAAGTCATTGAATTTTCTAAGGAACTGCATTTATAATGTGAAATATAAACTAAAGATCTTAAATCTGTGTTAATGACAGCAGTCTGAAAGCTCACTATTCACCTATCTTGAGGTTTTTAAGGTGTTACAATGAAATAGAGTTGAAGACAGTGTTTTTCAGACCATACTGATAAAAGCTAATATCATAATCTCATAAAACATAAATATCCCTAAAATTAAAAGACTATGCTTTTATAACATTTTTTAAAAAAATCATAAACTTCTGTAAATATTCATGTGCATAGTGTTGCACTTATAGCTAATAAATATGTTAAAATTAGAATTATCTTGGATTGTATATCCCCACTGTCTTGTCAAGCACAATACAGTTCTTGGAGTATGTTCCCAGTTAAGGAGATAAGCTTAGTGTCACCTGCTATCTTCATCATATCTGATGAAGACAAAAATTCACTAAGTCAACACACTGTTGCTCCTCGCCAGGTTGTGAAATCAGAATCTGATGGAATCGATAAGGAAACGTCCACTGAACAGAGCACAGGAGCTTGAGGACAGTGGGTTTTCAGTACATCCAAGCTGTGGGCAACACTTCTTGCAGTAATTGCATTATGCACTTCCACAACAATTACAACAGGAACATATGCTTGTCTGAATTATGGTCTAACATATGTGCATCCAGTTTCCCCCCCCCCCAATTTTTTTAAATCAGTTCACATACAGATTTTACAGAACATGGGCCTTGTCTTATGTTGCGCCGATAAACTCGCACTGCTTTGGCAATATTTTCTCCATCCATCAGTTCACCTTGTTGTTTCTCTTTAAAAGTCATAAGTCTTATTCTTCACTATCTTTCTACACCATAATTTCAAAGATAATAATAAAGTCTTTTGTAGTATCAAAAGTGGTATTTTATTCCATTGCTCACAAACAGGTTTCAAAACTCTAAGGACGTTGTTGGTCGGAAGTCCAGAAGCGCAAAAGTACATTGATGACAGATCAGGAGATTTAATAGAGATCTGAGTGAAATTTATGGCCTTGAAACCCATTTCTTGTTCCATTTTTTCCAGGAAATTAATAGTAGATTTTGACATGTCGCTGCTCGCTTCGTCTTAATGCAGTTCTACTGATTGATCACCTGTGTGTAAAGAATAGGTACATCATATTTGAAAATTGGGCATAAAATATGTTCTTGATAATATGTGGAGTTGATATTAATATTTTTCTCCACTTTCTTTATTTTTCATTTGCCGTTATATGAAAACTAACAGCAATCATAAATCCCTTAGAAAAGCTTTCTTTAAATTCCTTGAACTATGTTTTAGCATTAATCACTTTGTTACACTAATGAAATTAGCATTAATCACTTTGTTTACATTTGGCACTGAGCATTTTAATGATTTTGCAACTGTCTTTTGTCCTGGCGGATTTTCTTTTAACAGTAAATATCTTCTTACTTTTGCCAAATTCCAAACATTCTGTTTCTTCCTTGAATACATATTTGGAACACTTGAAGCTAAATTTTGAGGTTTTTTTCTTTATGGTTGACAACAAACTTTATATATAAAAAAATCTTAGGATTCACAACATTTTTTAATTGCTACATCTGAGCAATTTTTTTCGGAAAGGACATAAACATTGTCTTCCATTCATTTCTTCTTTAAAGTGACATTTTGCTTGAAAATAAAGCTGTCAATTAGCAGACGATAATTTATATTTTAAAAAATATAGTTGCATTTAAAAAAAAAAATTCAAATGGATAACTTTTTTTTAACAGCAAAGCAAAATTGTCTAAAAAATATTAGAACAGCCTGTATTCACTACCATTCTATTTATTTTCTTTAATGCTGCATTAAAAAAAAAATGAACTGAAGAAATAAAGATTACAAAATGAGTATAAACCTAGAAAAAGCTGTTATATGGTGAAGTCCAGCAAACTGTTCTCATTGCTGTCATCTTATGCCAATATCTACCAGCATGCATACATGTTTAGCACAGATGTTTCATAACTGATAGAATACTTTGAAAGCAAAGAGACTTTAATTGTTCTGTTACCTATTGAAACTGTATATAATGCATTGTTTTTTTATTGCACTGTCATCTGTAGAGTCATTAGATTATCTTGAAGCATGAGTATATGAAAAATGTGCGATATCGCACCTGGACTTAAACCTGGACCTCTCGAATATGCACCGAGTGTACTATCATTACACCATAAAGGCATGGTGGAAAGAGGGAGAAAATATCTTATATACTCCCTCTTTTAAAAGGCAACTGAGGATTTAGGGACCCAATTGCCAGATCCTGATGGTGACGAATTATTGTCTATCATCTTTTTAATTCAAATGCCAATGCAGAGTTGTTTTGAAGCAAGAGTTCATGAAAAATAAGCAATGCTTTCACTGAACCTGGTCCTCTCGAATATGCACCAAACACGCTACTGTTACACCACAAAAGTATGCTGGAAGGAGAAAATACCTTGTACATCTTAAAAAGATTATGAAATACCTGATCCTTATTTTTGTATATATGAGAGAGACAGAAAGAAAAAGAACACTATATATGCACAATGCAGTGCAAAATAATGTATATATTCGTTCAATGCTGTTAATATTTTGTTGAGAATAATTTAACTTTACTAGACTTATGTATTATCCATGAATATCATGCTGCATATAAATTATAATATTACCTCACAGTTTCATGCAACCATAACAAGTCTTGCAAAATATTAGGTTCAGATAGCAGGACATTATTTTCAATTTATTATTATAGTTTATTATAGCCTGTAGTTATTATGCATAAAATTTTTATTGCTTCATATTAGAAACATCTTGCTTGTCAGGATGGCGATGATTATTATATCCACTTCAGTATCATTTTTATTTGCTGCACAGTCCACTTTATTTGGAGTCAGATGAATTTTTCCAAACTCAAGATCCTCCTAAAAAATTACTCTTACAGTCTGTGCCAAAATGGGATTTTTTTTACTTAGTTTACCTGAACATGTTGCATACTACCATCTAGTTAATAATTTAACTTTATTAGAATGAGAGTGTACTATTTCACTAATTTCAGATGGACCTGTCCACCTAGCATATAGCTTGTTGCTGAGTCTGGTTAAAGTAAACGTACTTAATCACCAAGAAGCAAGATCAGATGCTTTCTCTAAATTTATTTTTAATTCTTGTAGATAGTGAACTTATTATTGCTTAAATTAAGAAATAATGTTATTTTGTGGACCATGATTGATTTGAATACAGCTAAGGGATCTCTAGCTTCACAACCATACATGAGCTGAAATGGAAATAACTTGTAGTGTAATTTGAAACGTCATGGTTTGTAAAAAGTAGGTAAGGAACATGCTTACCCCAATTAACAGGATATGTGTAAATTACATGATGTAACATTTGCTTAAATTACATGGTTCTAACCTCTTTTTTTTTTTTTTTTTTTTTTTTTTTTTTTGACCGCTATCGAATGCAATTTAACGATGTTTTTGTGTGATATCTGTAACTGCTTTAAAATGAATTCTGAAGAGAATTTTTCGTGGCGTCTGTACGAACGTATGTATCTCACATAACTCAAAAACGAGTAGATACAGAACGTTGAAATTTTGTACATAGGACTGCTATAACATGTAGATGTGCACCTCGTATTTTGGTTGTAATCGGCCGCACCAAACATATATAAATATATATATATCCACTCTGTTACCTGGCTCAGTGATCTCAGTTTCTTTACTCTTATATGTTTGTAAATTTTACATTTTTAGCTTTAAAAATGATTGAATTATGTTGTTCTTATCTTCCGGTTAAAGTTTTTATGCCTTTGGTAAATCTATATGCAATATTTTTAGAATTATCGACAATTTTAAAGTTGTTCAAGTGCCGCTAAGCCTAATAATTTTTTTTATGGCGGCCATTGCTTGTTTACATTTGAAACAGCAGGATAGTGGATTTGTTGCCAATCTAGAGAAACTTAGCTTTGCAACAACAAAGATAACGCCTTCATTTATTATTGCCAATTAAATCATGCTTAATTCTTTCTGGAATTTTTTCGAGAAAATAAGTGTTTAAGATTTACTTCGTAATTTTTAATACAGATATTTTGAGTTGTTATGTATTTTTGCCTTCTTGCGAAGTGAGAACCGATTTAATTGAATGAAAAATACTCAATCGTCTGTGAAAAACTGTTTCATTTTTGTTTTGTTTGCTTAGTTTCTTTTTATACATCGTTCTAGCTTTGTTATAGTACTTGAATAGAACATGTGGCAACGATTAGATAATTCTTTAAATGGTATACATTTTGTGCATTCTGAGTTATAATATGAACGAAATACAATACTGTTAAGTGAACCTAGCGCCAGAGTGTCGCTATGGTAAACAAATAGAGTGAATTTAAAGAATGCATTTATTCTATTGTGGTTTATGCGCTATGGACGAAGTAGATTTAATTCAATCCAATGCATTTAAATGAAATGCTAGAAAAAGTGTGCATAATTTAATATTCCGTAAAAGAAAGTCATGTGGTGTACACATCAGATTTTTTTTTTCAAATTCTTGATTTAACTGCAAGGTAAAATTAGTACCTTGATTGCTATAAATTATTTCTGGAGTACCTGTTGTCTTAAACATTTTTAAAGAAGCATTGGAAACAACTTTATCATTTTTTTTTTATAAAAAAGTATGATTTCCAGCTATGTTGAATGATTTTTTATTAAATATATACAATACTTACATTTCCTTCTTGAACATGGGAGAATTTCATGAATAACATCTGTATTTACTGTATGAAATGGATGTTGCACATAGACAACAGGAGTAATCTGAATTTTGTCTGCCTTTTCAGACTTTTTAATTGATATTTTTTACATGTTTTATAATAATGTTTTACATCTTTGGATATGCTGAGCCATTAAAATGAAAGCTTGATACTTTCCTTGGTTTTTAGCAAGCATAAATGAGTTCCAAATAAGGAATCATGAGCTAATTGAAGGACTTTATTTCAATAGTTTTCAAACAAAAGTGGCTGTTGTATGCTTTTGTCACAATTTTTCTTCTTCATGAAATAATAATTCGTCTCTTAAAAAGAAATAATATTTTTCTAATTCCATGCCATTAAAAGAATTCGTTAATATTAGACATTTTATCTGTTTAGCCTTAGATTTATTCGATTCCTGTATTAGTAAATAATCCTCTATTTTGTTTAGGCTTTCATCTACTGGTTTTGCATTTGAGCTATAAAAAAGATTCACTTTTGACAATTCATCAGACAATTTTGGCGTCAGATCTTTCAAACTCAAGTTGTTTTTGTGTTTCCGGTTTCATCTCATGCGAGGATCGTGATTGATATCCATTCTCCTCTTCAAGTATGTGGTCCCACACATCTAGTGTAATTGAACATTTAACATACTTTATCTGTCATCACGAAAAGAAAGATTCCACTTGCAAGTATAATTTTTTTTTTTTTTTTTTTTTTTTTTTTAATAAATGGGAATAATTACCACTGTTGCCTTGATGATGTCACCAAATACAGAACTTAAAATAATTTTACCTTTACTTTCTATTTCTAAATCAGGAGTTAAGTCTGTGTTCAAAATTGGTATTTCTGTACCCAAATCCTTTATTGCTTCTACTTGCTTGCCTGCAATGTAAATAGTAATCTTTTGCAAGGGTAGTTTTTTGCCAGAACATTTCTGTTTTTGTAAATGCCTAGAATTTACATTAGTAACAATTAGTACATTAGTAGTTTCAGTTCACTTTACCTGTTCATTTTCTGTTTTACTTGAGCATTATCATTTTGTTTATTTGACATATCAAATTTACTTCGCCTATTTAAACAATCTTTATCTAAAATGTAAATTGCTTCTACAAATGTAACATTCTCATGGTTTAAACAAATGTTTTTGTTAATTTACCACTGAATGTTTTCTCATTGCTGGTGCAATATATTTAGAATTCTTGTTGAACGAAGCAGGATGACTGGCATGTTTTTCACCTCTTATCTAATTGAAAAATCTACCTTTTGCAGTGAAATAAACATCACAGTCCTTCACCAATTCTTTTTATACAGCCAACTTTCATCTTGTCGAACTGCAATATGCCAAATCATTATTCAGAGTTTGAAAAGGTTATCTGAAATAATTAAATAAGACCCAAAATGTTCAACGTTCACCACTTCAACGTTTCTGCTTTTAAAATAATGTATCCAACATGTCAAAATTTTCTAAACATGTAACTGGTGATGGTTCATGTTCTTTATTAATTCAATTTTGTCATAAACTTTCAATTCATCATCTTTAATATACCCTAAAATTAAAAGATTTGTAACCTATCAATTTATGTAAAATTTTACACTTAAATTTTCTGGTACTTTTTTATGCTTAAAAGCCCTTTCTATTGAATGAAAAAAATGAGTTTTATGCTTCATTCCTTATAGGTACAGGAATCGACAATATCTGTACCGCTTTCAAAAGTTTATCTAATGAAAATACATTTTCTGCTTTGTTACTAGTTTCACTACTGCTTTCAGGTTGTGACAGTTACGATTTCTTAATATCCTCTGATTTTTCCCACCTTTCTTCAACCATAGTATTAAGAAATTCAATTGCGTAATATATATCTTTCAAGTACTTTTTAGAACTTAAAAGTTTATATTTCAATTCTACAACTTTTAAACTGGAATCAACTTCTTCTTTGAGTTTCTTCAAAACTGAAATCACTTTTAATTACTCCCTTAAATATAAGCAATCTTTCAAAAAATTGTAACAAAATGTATCAATTCTCTGTAAAATCCAATCACTTTTGATTTCCTCTGCTTTTCAAAAGAGAGCAGGATTGTTGTGCTTGTTAGGTTTGCTGAGATATCACATCCACGATAAATTTAATTTTAACTATTTTTTATCTATAAACATGATATTATGTTCAGAAATATTTGCAGAAGTTAATAAAATGCAGTTTAAGGAAATAACCATGGGGTTTAAACCCTTTTAACTCATGTTCTCTGTTAGCCACACTGGCTAAAAACCACACTCGAACTCAGTGCAAATAGCTTATTTAGTTCTTGCACACAACTCCAATTTTCAACGGATTGTCTGTATCCCTTGCTGGCTCTTCACTTTGATAAGGAGGCATGTGATAAAGTTACTTCACTGTGATAAGGTCACCACATTAAGAAAAACTGAAGCAGTATTCATCTTATTGACAGTCCGTGATGTGGAAATCATTCACTGCATATAAGCCAGATACTTATAATGTTCAGCACTACTAATTTCTTGACTTTAGGTATGTAATGTAACTATAGAATCTATATAATGATAATGCAGACGTGATACCTCTCATATTTGGCATTGATGAACAGGGAGTGTTGAGTTTCTGTATTTTGCTGTGTGTGAACTTATTAGAACTATCAATTACCAGTTCTCGTATCATCCATTGAAACTTTATCAAAATGATCAGCAGTTGTTCAATATAGTTATCTGCAGTTTTAGTAGTTATGATTCTCAATCCGAATTAAATTCTAAGATGTACAGATGTAAGTTCTTTCATTTTACATGAGTTATGAGAGAACTTCCAACACAAAAAATTTAATAAATGCTATTTCCAAATGAAACATCAGCATTTTAATTTGCCTTTTTATACTGTTTCTATATATTATTACTCTTAATTGCAATGTATGCATACCATGAATTGCTAATCGTTTGCATATCTTAACATACTCTTCCTTTCATGTAAATTTTAGGTGTGTTCCCCCCTTCTTACTCAGTGTTCTAGCACTTTTAATGGCCAGCATTGTATTTATACCTTTAGCATAATTAATGAAATATGTTTCCTAATTACCATAGTTAATGAAATATATTTCCTTGTGTATAACTTTACTTTGTGTGCATTAAAAAAAAAAAACCCCGAAATCTTCTATTCCTCCATAATTGTAATTGAGCATTTTTTATTTTTCAGTCAGAGCAAATATTTGAAATGGCTTTAAAAACTGATGATGAGTTATTTCACGTGGCTCTGTATGATTGGTTAATTGAAAATAATCAGACAGATACTCTTCTCTTTGTAAGTTCCTTTGTTTCTTTTCTTAAAACTGTATGTATGTAATGCATTTTCAGTTGTGAATTTAAGTTTTCATCTCCTGTTTAAGTTTTAGCAGATTTTAATATTCTTAGAAAGAAATATAACAAAAGAGTATTTTCATTCTTCCCCTTTTTTGTTTTTTTTAGACTTAAAACTACTTATCAAATAGTCCAGTTAAAACTATTTATTGAAATTTTTATCTTTAATGTATAGTATACTTTTCAGAACTTTAATTTGTATTGTAGAGAAGGAAACACAGTGCATATATATTTTTATTATTGCCTGCTTCCTAATCGAAATTTTTTAGTTGAGAAGAGGGGGAAAAAAAAAGTATTGGAAATGTCTTTGGTTCTGTTATGCATTAGGTAGAGCAAAATATTTTTTTTTCAGAAATAAATTCCAGAGTTTTTCTCTATTCTGTATCTTCATATGTCTTATAATAGTCACCATATAAATTGATGAGTCATTGATAAAGAGAGTCTTTTGTTGCAGAAAAGTGCAAAGGTGGAAAATTTGTTAATCCGTAGGTTGGAATTTCAGACATGGGAGAGGGGGGAGTTTTATACTGCTAGCATGGTTTGTTTTATAGGCTAGTTTTATGCTCCAGATTCTGAACTTGTATTATAGGTATTCAATGTGCTTCAGACTGCAAGACATGTTTGTTTGTTAATGATTGTTGCTTAATGCCCTTTTGTTGATGCATTTTCTTCATATTTATTCAGCATTGATCTGTTGTCATAATTTGCCATGGAAGGAATAATCGATAATGCATCAGAAAAAAACCGCAATGTAGAGAATATTATCATCTACATGCTGCTAAATTATTATTCTCGAGTGTTGAATCTCCTGTCTATGAATATCCTATAAAACCAGCTTTTCATCAATGGTTACAATACATTGCAGAAAATTCCATGTGTTTTGCAGTTCAAGAGAGAAGATACATTCTAGATCATTTTGCTTTGTTCTGATCAGCAGGTTCATGTGGCTGCTAATGTATTAAGCTTTCTAACTTTATCTGTTATTGTTTGGTGGTGAGGAAGTGGTGCTGATGCACATTCTGAGCTGTTTGGTATGTGTTTGTGTTAAGCAAATCTTTTAATGTGGTAGGATCAGTAAAGGACGAGAAATGGTCTCAGGATTCTCATTGCTGACTTGTATCACTTGACCTGAAGTTTGCAAATCAACACTGAATGGTTTGTTCAGCAGCAGTTTCTCTCCAAAATGCTTTATCAATATTTTTGTTTGTAGTCTTTTTAGAATTTCACAAAATCAGTGGGCAGGGAATTTTTTTCAGTTAATTTGTTTTCATGGTTAACTCAGCAGTTTACTCCTTTACAGGATTATTAAAACCCATCATCCATATTTATACACTTTTCAGAAAATAAATATATATATTAATATATTATCTATATTATATCATCCATATTTATACATCTTCAGAAATTTGCTGCTTGCTTTTTTAATGAATAAAATTTGTTGTTCTTTTCATTTAGCCATTCATTCACCTATTACCCAATAAAATAATATCTTGCTTCTTAGTTATTCCAATTATATTTTCATTTTAGAGTGTCTAAACTATTTCCATAGTTACCTTGAGTTGAATGCTTCTTGCTATTTTGGGGCACCATAAATTCCTGTGAAACAAAGCATATGCAGCTGATGTCACTTGGAATACACTACAGTCACGTGTAATGATTGTTGATCATTGCTTTTGAGTATTCCTGCTTCCTATCACTTTTGAGAATTCATGTGTGGACTGTATGCATCCTAAGGAAAATCAGGAGAATTTATTTATTATTGCTGACTTCATGATGCATGTAATTTCTAATATTTTTTAATCTTAATTTAAAAGGGTATATACAGATTTCTAATAACATTTAAGTGGAAAATGTTGAGCATTTTTTTTTTCCTCCAACATCTACAGTGTTACTTACTTGTGTTACATTTTAACTTTCATTTATTTCATTTATTTTACATTTGTTCTTGACATTGAGTTATTTTTAAAATTCTTTATAGAATTAATTAGAAATAAATTTCAACACTGTTTTAAAGTAACCTGTATTTATTACTTCAGGATGCATTCTAAAGTTTTAGTTTTAAAATACTGTTTTATTTTGCCTGTGTCTTCAAATGTACATCTTAGATTGCATCACTTTAGCACATCTTAGATTGCATGTAAAAAAGTTGGCCATTACTGGCTTAGGGAATCTTGAGCATATTAAATCAGGTAATATCTGTTTATAACTGAATTTAAACATTTCAGTGCTGCCCTGACCTATTGGTTAGTGATACTGACTGCCATGTTCATTGGCCCTTTTTTCTTAATCCTGAAAGAGTTTGGATGTTTGTATTGTGTTTTTCAAACATAGCACTTAAAAGACACAGGAAGCCAAAAAGTATCTCAAGTAATGTATTTAGTGGTAGGGAAAGAGGAGTGGGAAAACCCTCAAATCGATGCTTAAGTGGAATATTAATTAATTATAATTAATTATAAATAATAATATTAATTAATTAGGATGAAGCTGGAAAAAATCGTATTGTCACCTAAAAGGCACCCAAGGCCCATGCCAACAAGAGGCATAGTCCTGTACTCCTCACCATGATTAAAGCCTTACTCTTGTTTATATGTTATTCTCAGATAATTGAGATAAGTCACAACACAGCAAATATTTCAATAGCTTCTGTTGGTTTGATTATCATGGGAATATTGTGGAGCATCACTGGTGGCATCAGTATGCTTTTTCTCTATTTCTTCTATTAGCATATTAACCTTGCTATATAAAATCATTTTTACTGCTTTTATTTACATGATTTTTATTTGAGTTTATAAGGCAGCAAAATATTCATATGCACTTTCTGAAAATGTTAAATTTCAGTAATTTTAAATAGCATTAATCTAATAAAATTTGAATAATTCTCAAACCAAATGATATCACTTTGTTTTCCCCAATATGAATCACAGAGTAATCCCAGTTGACTCTCCAAAGATCAATTCTGGTGTAAAACTTATATTTATAATTAATTTATCATATTAATTAACTTGAAACAAATTTCCTATTTTCAGATAAAATCACATTTCTTGGAGGATTATTTAAAAAGGTGCACTACTCTTCGCCCTGACAATTCATATGTCTTAGATTTATTGTGGAAGTACTATGAAAAGAACCAAAATTTTTCTGCTGCTGCCAGAGTTTTATCAAAATTAGCAGATAAGCATGGGTATGAAGAATTCAAAGTTATACATACATTTTTAGAAATATTACTGCATTTGATGTTGTGCTGATTTCAGAAGTTTAACCTTTTCCTGTGGGTTGGGACAAATATGTCCCACACATTCATCACATTAAATAAAGCTCCAGAATTTTTTGCCCACAGTGGAGGGAATAGAAAGTGGTGAATCCTGTTGCCGTTTTTTCTTTTCTTTTCTACTTGAAAACATGATTTAATGAGCCCAAGAAATAAAAATAATTAGTCTCTGTAGTCCACAGGGAAAGGTTAGCAGAAATGAGATGCAATATTATAAACTTTGTTTTTTAAATATAATTTTTTTTTAATTTTTTGCCAATATGTATAGTATAAAAGAGAATCCCTAGTTTATGAAAAATGTTTTATAATTCATTAAAAAATTAATATGCTTTATATACTAAAATCATTGATATGTTTACCATTTTCTCTGTATGTTCTAAAAGCCTCTCAAAAATCTGGTTTGTAAAATAATTTAGAACAACAAAACTCGATTTGTGCAGATCTTTTCTTTCTAAGCATAGTAGCATTGAGCATGTTAATTTATTTACATGTTTTTCATTGTTTAAAGAACATTCATTTAAAGCATTTATATGATTCATTTAAAATATAAATTATTGGTATAAAGCATATTGATGATATGAAGAGAAAATATATTCCCTTATTAAATGAATTTAGATAAATGTGAGTGACATGTAGATTTTATTTTAATGTCAACATTTGCATTAATTATAAACAGTAATGAAAATGCAGGGATATGTTGTATAGTAGACCTCTCTCTCTCTCTCTCTCTCTCTTTTTTTTTTTTTGTTTTGCAAGTCACTGCTTAGTCATAATAAGCTCTTTTTTTCTTAAGTAGACTGAACAAATATGAAAATATGATGGCATATGTCAATTCCTTTCTTACATAAGAAATTGTAATTAGTTACACAATGTACCTGCAACCAAAAATTTTTAATTGCCTTGTGCTATATGCAGTTTAGAGTGCGAACTCCCATGAGCATGAAGTAGTATCATATCGGATTGGGGAAAGGCGATTTTTCAGATTTTCTTACTTGTATTGATGTTGTTAGGTATTTGGTCTACAGAATGAAGGAAGCCAGTTATTCATTTTTCTTAGGTATTGAACAGGTTGTAATTTTCTTGTTAGTCTAGATCTTTGGAGTTTTACTGTAGTTAAATAAATTTATATCACCAATCAGTAATGTTAATAATCATTTCTTCACTTAAGAAAACCTATCATTACAAAGATTGAAAGATATTACAGTGAATAAAAAATGTTAAAGAACATTTATTTGTATTTCATATCATAGAAAGCAATAAAAGAATTATCTTGTGCTAAGGAAAAGAAATTTCAGCACAAAACATTTACATTTCCAGTTATTTAATATTTTTAAATGCAAAAAGTATTATAAAGTTTTCAAAAGGAAATTTTTTAATGTATTTATCAAAAATAGCGGTTTCTCTCTGAAAAATGAACCCCTAAGTACTTGTGCTACAAAATTAACCACTGATGAAATTTTGAAGAGAAATCACTAAAATTTTTTAAAAAATATATATGTATTAGAAGTTTTTGTAAAATATTTAAAAATCTTAAAATATTATTAATGGTTAAATCCACAAAAAAATGAAAAAGTTATGTAATAACATTTATTTTTGGCCTTTTGATCTGAGTATTCTTTTGTGTAAGATAAAAACTAAAATTTTAGTCAAAATAAAAAATCCTTTGTTTTGTTAATTAATAACCTCTTTAAAATATTAGTAAACATCAGTCAATTATATAGGAAAACCTCATTTAATGCAATTCATCAAATCTTCAACTAATTCACACTGAGTAAAATTGCATTAAATGAGTAAAGAATAATTATACTTCAGTTGTTTTTGCATAAATTTGAAAGCAAAAATTATAAGTACTAATACATTCAACAATAAATAACATAATTAATTAATAATATGTATAACAATATAACCTTGGATCATGAACAAATTTTTCAAAATAAAAAGGCCTTGGATTACGAGCAGTGACTTGAGATATAAACATGTAACAAATCACTTCCAAAATACAGAGGTCCAATGACAGGAAAACTTCAGATAAATTGACATTGGAACAAAAACATCAGTACATAAACATATTATGATGACAAGGCAGGAATATTGGCAGATGATTGCCAGTTGCTCTGCTTATTTTGTTCGGAGTTGTGTATCTTCTGCTGTTGTCTCTACTTAAGGGGCAACTAGATACAAGTGAAGAAAGAAATTGTAGGCAAATACGAAAATTACATGATATTCATATCTCAGATCCTGCTGATTAATTTAGTGTGGAAAAATCAACCATCTTCATTCTTCTCAAAAATAAATAAATGATATAAAAAGCTAATGTTGCAAGAGGAGAGACCATATGATTTCAAGGTACTAAACAGAGATTACAAAAGTTTGAAGAAATCAGGAATATTGCTGCTTATTTGGATAGGCAAACAAATATTAATTGGTAATAATATTTGTAACGGCTTTATTTGTGAAAAAGCAAAACTGCATGATGACCAGGTTAAAAAAAAAAAAAATACCTTGGTATGAAAGCCAATACTGATGTATTCAATGTTACCAGAAGGTGGTTTGAGAATTTTAAGGAAAAAAGTGACATACATAGTGTAGTCTGGTATGGGGAAGCTACAAGTGTGAACCAAAAGGGTGCTGAGGAATTTGTGGGAAATTTTAGGGACTACGTAAAAGCTGAAGGATTTCTTCCTCAGCAAATTTTCTACTATGATTAAACCATTTTGTTCCGGAAACAAAAAATTGGCAAGAAGAATATACATCATCCAGAATTATGATTTCCAGGATAAAAAATCAGTGAAGGATAGTCTAACCCTTTCACTGTGTGAAAATTCAGATGGAAACTTATAGCCATTACTTTGTTTCACTTAGAGAATTTAAAGGTGTTTAAAGTACAAAGTGTTACAATCTAAATTACCCACTATGTGGAAGCCTAACTGTAGGGCATAGGTAACTAAGAAATCTTTGCCTCATGTCTGAAGAAGTACTTATAAGAACAGTCTGCTGTTTGAAGTGTTCTTCTTGTGGAAGATAATTCATCTGCTTTTCCCTCTTGTCGGTATCCTTCATGATGAGATGTTGAAAGAGCTAATTTCATCACAATTTAGTTCCTGACTCCTGGCATGGCTTCTCTAATATAGCCCATTGATCAGCAGGCTGTTTCAAATTTCAAAAAACTGTGTGCCAAAAAAAATTTTTTTGGTACTATTCAGTTTTGAGGGCCGTAAAAAATCGCCAAACTGTTGTTGATGCCGGTGCTGCCAAAAATAATTGCGGCAACCCTAATGCAAGAAAGGAAGTATATAGTAAATAACTATCTAAGATTGATGTTTTAATTTAAATGAAAGGTTAATTTCAATTACTTTTTTCTTATTATAATTCTATAAAAAGACTAAACATGCCTGAATGGAACATCTGTAAATAACTATTTCAATCATTATTAATTATATAAAATTGCTAAACATAACTGAATGGATGCCTGCATCGCTATTTCGCTACGAGTTATCGCTAAAGCATAATATCATCTCGTCGTTGTTCAACATAATTTCTATAATGAGATCCTTTCTTTGAAAATGTTCTCGGAAGTGCGAATCGCTCACTATTTGTTGCCCTTTTTTACAGGTAAAAACAATTGGATTGTTGTAGTTTCTTTTACTTTTTACGAAATAGCTCTATGTGACATAATAAGTCAAGGGTGTGCACAGTGCCATTTTTTTTTGCAATTCTAGATTTTTTTTTTTAAGTTAAAATGGGTCGATGTGCCAGATCCAAGAGGACAGTTCTTAAAACGCTCAAGCATGTGATTCGCACTTACCAAAATTCTATCTATGCCTGCATCGCTAATTTCGCACGATTATCGCTAAGCATAATTTCATGTCGTTGGGCCCCAGCGGCGGTGGTAAGTTGCGACACTGGGTTTCGGTCCGAGGTTCAATCCCACGAACGGCTGGGCATGGGAGTTTTCGTGGTTTTCCCCATGTGTAACGTGTATACGAGCCAGTTCTGCACTTTACCCAAAATTCTATTGCCGACTTTTCGTCATGGGCTTGTTATTAAATTGTTAAATCCATAGTATATTAAAAAAGGATTTAAAAATTAAACTAGTATTTCAGTGGCGTCTTAAGAAATATAGAACTATATAAATTTACGCAATCTGAAATCAGCACGTACGCTAGATTTGGCACGCTGTTAAATGGGCGCGTTTGCTAGATTTGTCGCTTTTGCCCATACATTTTCGCTGCAATTTTTTACGGTCCTCAAAACGGAATTGTACCAAATTTTATATATATATATATATATAACTGTGGGGCACAACCTGTAGCAGGAGGTCGCCAAAAATTTTAGCAATTTTGGTATTTCTTATTGTAATAATTTTAAAATTACCAAATATTTTTACACAATGTATCTGAAAATAAAGATAAGACAATACAGATAAAGAAAAAATGAAAATGTTTTGATGTATTCTTTTTAAATATAACATTCATTTTACTTGCTTTGCACGTGATGCTGTCATTTTGTCTGTTACTTATTTAAAATTTTCACATTGTCCTATGTCTTAAAATTAGAAATTAAAGTTCCTAATTAAAATTGAAGACCTAAGACTAAGAATAAGAGAGAAATAGAAATTAAAGACCTAAGACTGCAATAGTATATTACAGTACAAGTGAAAAAATTGACAGTGTCACTCACGTGTGTATCGAATTTGCGCAATGCTTATTCATAAATATTATGGGTCCTGGGGTCACAAAAAAAATCTCTGTGATAAAAATGGGTCATGACTGAAAAAAGTTTAAGAAACCCTGTTCTAGACAAAGCCTGGCAGCAAGTGATGCGATCAGCCCAAAGTTTACATTGAGTCATCCGATAATACGTACACAAAGTTTGATTGATTTTGGCCTAATAAAATTATTTCTTCCCAGAGG